AACTGCTGTCAGACATTATCTACTGCACTCTGATCACATCACTCAGACCAGCTGCTTTCTACAAAGTCTCATCAACAACATCTTTAGAAACAAACATCAACAACCAGGAAGCAGCTTCACCTCTGATCACACACACACTCAACTCTACTCACTCACCTGGAGGAACAACAACACTCAAGTCGATGGTGCAGATAGGGTCACATGAGACTGTTTCTCTCACAATACAGCACTTGTATGTTCCAGAGTCATTAATCGTCACATTCTTCAGAATCACAGACACGTCTCCATCCTTCATCTGTCTGTCCTGCAGATCCACCCGGTTCTTAAATAATGGATGCTGATCATCTTCTTTGAGCTCCTTGTCTTTAAACACAGCTACATGTTTATCTCCCAGGTCATCTCTGCTCCACTCTACAATGAAGATGTTGTTGTTTGGAGCTCGACATGTCAGATTGACGTTGTGTCCAGAATCAGCTGCGATGATTTTCTGGTCTGAAAGAGGAAACAACACAGCGCAGAGAGCTTATAGGTCAAAGTACAACTGTTACACCAGCCAATCAGAGTGAAGAGTCTCTCTGGGATCCTGGTTTACAGTGGCCGAATTAAATCTGAGCATCAGATCTGTTAAAAAACTGTCAGAACAAGAACGGAGCACAGGGAATAAAAGCTCCTGAACAGAGTATGAAACATTTCATTAATAACAAAATCTTAAATAACATAAACAAAAAACTTAACTGTCACTTTTGTGAGCCACTTGCTGGGCTTGTGTAGACAAGAACATGCCCGAAAATTTTAATTTTTCAGTTTCACCATCAGAAATGATCATCGTCATCACATCCAGCACATTGAAATCAGTTCAAGTGAGTGATTAAATAATTAAATGAGCCTGCTGTTCATACACCAGGCCCTCTGGACCTCATACTAATGAGGTCACATTGGCCACCAGTGGCGGTTTTTGATATGGGCAACATGGGCCGTTGCCCAGGGCAGCACCACGCCAGCGCATTTTTGTGATTGCACAGGCACCGATCGGTTTTCTATTCTCCATTTGTGGGGAGTAAGGGCGCCCTCGGTTTGCGTGCCTGCTGCTTGCTGCACAGACAGGGGCGGGGCTGGCCGGTGCAGCATCTAATAACCAGCTGGCAAAATGAAACAAACCAACAAACATAAAAACACCAGACATCATGATATAGACTAGTAATTTACACTGATGTGATTTCTAAATTCTATCACATATACGTGAAACGTGAGCGCGAGGGCCCTCAGTGTGCCTGCTTTCTGCTGCTGCTAAAGTCTCACACACAACCTGTCGAAACTTCTGTTTACCTTTGTTAGTCACTCGGCTATGACGGTAAACAGTAGACACTGATGTGGCTTATTGAATCTTTTGCACTGTGTTCAGCACAATATTAATTAACCATTTATTGGAAGAGCTGATTGTAGATTTTGCTGTGAACGCGGACATGCGCGTGTGAATACTCAGATCTGTAAATGTGAAATAAAGCGTAAGATGCACAGATACGAAAAAGTCAAGTGTTGCTCAAAGCTCTCGAAACAGACAAGTCACGCAGGTTTCCCCCCCTCTCTGGACACGTCATTCTCTCCACCCTCTTGTTACAGAGTTTACTGAGCCTCGCAGGCGCCTGCGGGACTAGACCGAGCGACTGCGTGCTGTTTGCGCCTCGACGCAATGCAGGCTCAGATGGACAGACTACCCTGTGCTTGCTGCAAGTGTAAGATTTATTCTTTTATTAACATATGACATACATGTATTAGAAGCTCGGTGTTATTATGACAGTGTTTTGGCAATGGCGTTTACGGACCGATCTGTGCTGAAAACACGAATTAAAGAATAAATAATAAAGTACCGAGCAGCTAAACCCGAGGCAGACACAGGGATTCATCTTTCATTTTGTCCTTTTTCGTTCAAACAGTCCGAACAAACGTGTTATTTCTAGAAATCTTCCGAGCGATGGTGAAACGCAGACTGCATCGGTTTCGTTTCTCTTTGTATTAGAATATCATCATGGCCATATATATAGGCGGAGCCTGAATAACCCGCACCTACAGCGCTTACTCAGCTTACAAATATTTGATGACCTCTGACTAGTCACAGAGAAAATGCTCAAGTTTTTAAAGCCAACACACGTTTTTATAGATTCAACGACAAATTATATGTCCTTATATAGTTATTATACAGAGACATACACACAGTAAAAAGAAGCTTGTGTTTCAGGCCTGGTTTTAAATTTGAATCTACAGTCAAAGACGTAAGATGGCGGCTGTTTGTGCTCGTTCAGCCATCTTTGTCCTGATCCTCAGTAACATTTAATCGACTTGTAGAGCTTTAATACCTAAAGTATTTGAAATAAGGTGTGGCCTTGGATTAAAAGTGTTCCCTCTTTAGTGCTCTAGTTACATAGTTGTAATCTGTGTGGAGGGACGGCCTCTAAAAGAATATATTAGTCTTTTGCCAACTGTATTTTCCGTGTTTCAGAACAGAACACTGGCGTGTTAAAGCTTATTCACAGTACAAACAGGGTTTTTTGTGGGTGTAATTTTGATCACGAAGCTGATAAACACGTTGAAAGTCATGTTTTAGTCTTCCTGTGCCAGCCTGTTGTGTGTTACTTTAGTTATAATGGCTGTTTTAAGCATAAACCCTCATGTTACTGAGCTAACCCTACCCCACAGCTAGCAGGCCGTGTTAGCAACACGGAAAGGGTGCGTCCCTTTTCCTAACGGCTGTTTCTGTTGTTGCTGTTTTTTAAATAAAAACGCTATTTTGTACTCAAGGTAGTGTTTGGGAGGATTGCTAAGGAAGAGCGTTGCTCGGAGACTCTGAACGACCACCGTGTTTAAACTGCGACAGCAAACAACGAGAATAACGTGTGAAAAACAAGATTTGAATTTTTAAAGAAGACGTTGGGTTGAGTAACATCTACACCAGCGT